CCCGCCGGGGGATCGTCGACGACCCGAGGTTGGCGGCGGCAGTGAAAGCGCGGGTGGATCGTGTCGAAGCCTCGTTCCAGGCGGTCATCGACGACGTGGAGCGGCACACTCGGGAGAATTACGCGGCCATTCAAATGCCGCACAACCGCGACATCTTCTTGACGTTCATCGTCAAGGATATGGACAGGTACACGCGCGACGTACAGATGTTCGCGGACGAGATGCAGCGGCGCTTCGTTCTCCCTCCGCCATCGGCCGCCCTCCCGCCCGCCCCCCTCCCGGCTTTCCACAACCTGGCGGCATATCTCCGGTCGGGAGGGCTGATTAATTCTGCTGTGCAAGGCAGGGCCGGCCGTTCATCGGCCGCCGCCGCGGGTGCCGGGGGGAAGGGCGGCACGGCCAGGGAACCGGGGCCGTGCTACCAGTTCCAGAAAGACGGTACATGTCGGTGGGGGAAAGCCTGCAAGTTCGTGCATGTGGCGCCACGGAAGGCCAGCGGAAAGGGAGGAAAACGGGGGGGCGTTCCTGGCGGCGGGGCCGCGGATGGTGGCTCCAGAGGTAGCTCTTCCGCCGGCGCGGACACCAACGCTCCTGCCGCCACCGCCCCAGCGAAGCGGGCCAAGGTGGGAGCAGCCGGGGCCAAGACTCGCAGCAGTGCGAAGGGCGGTGCCGCCGACGGCGCCAAGGACGATGATGAGGAATAGGGGCGCGGGCCCTGCCCCCCGGGGGGGGGAGGGCCGTCTTTCGATGTCGCGGGGGGCGTGGTCTCGGGCTCGAGCACGCACCTCCTACGACCAGGGGCGGCTACTGCGTTGACCCGAGGTGGGGTTGGTACTTTAGATGGCACTGATGTTAGGCGTATTGTTTCCATGGTACATGCTATGTCTCAGACCGTCGACCAAGGTACACCGCATGCAATAGTACTTGCTCAGATCGCGGTGAAGTGTTTTCGGTTTTTGTCTCAGCATGGGGGAAGCTTTGAATGCATGAAAGCCATCGAAAACGGCATCGGTGTGCCGCGGGTACGGCCTGAATTTATTCGGTTTTGGTTTGGACGCTTGAAGAGTTTTCCTCACACAGAGACGGTCGCTAAGATTGTGGAACGTGGCGCCGTAGTGCCCGTGTGTGGATCTGCCGAAATCGCAGCAGTGCTATCGTATGGTAACCATCGTAGTGTCGTTCCGTATTCTGACACTATTTTACGGAAAGTGTTTGATGATGTGCGGTTTGGGCGGGCGTTCGTGTTTCCAAAGACAGCGGCAGAATCGATACCGGGGTTGCGGCTTTCTCCACTAGGTGTCGTAGTGTCGCCGGAGAAAATTCGGATTATCCATGACTTGACGTTCGAATGCTCACCCGTATCGCGTAGTGTCAACGCCGACACAGATCCAGAGGCGGCGCCGAAAGTCGAGTTAGGTCACGTGTTGCGGGACGTCGTGTGGCGCATTTTATGGTTGCGGAGGACGTACGAGCCATCGGCCCGGATTGTGTTAAGCAAGATAGACGTGACGGACGCATTTCGACAGGTTGCGGTTCAATGGTCGGGTGCCCCCGTGTTTGGCTACTCAGTTGGGGACCTTGTCGTAGTAGATCGGCGCTTGGTGTTTGGGTGGCGAAATTCACCGGGCAATTTTTGTGTCATGACTGCCGCGTTGGAGCACTCTCACAATCACACCTCTGTGGCGAATGCAGTAATCACGGATCTTGGCCGGACGGCTACGAACCATGTTGAGATTCCGTTACCGAGCGAATGTGAAACGCCAACCCCATTCCCCCCTGGATGTCGAACCCCCCCCGGTTCGGGGGGCGGTCGTTCTGACCCGTTTTTCGTGCGGTTCTATGTCGACGATGGTATTCTGGTGGAAGTGATGTGGAGCCCGACTGGGGACCGGTGTAAAATAGCTTCGGCATCGTGTGCATCGGACCATTTCCGGGTTTTTGGGGCGAGGGGGTCAAGGGACCCTCCTTTGTTGTCTGCGCGTAAACTTTCCTCGTGGTGTACAAGGCTGTGTGTGCTCGGGTGGGACATTGATACGGTGGATATGACCATTTCGGTTCCCACAGACAAGCTGGAACGCCTGCGGGCGACCATCAACGAGTGGCCTACCACACGCTGCTTTGCGTCTGAGTCCGAGTTGCGGGGGGTGATTGGTTCGTTTTTGCATATATGTGAAGTCGTGCGGCCTGGTAAATATTTTGTTCGCCGCATGCTCAACCAGTTGGGGCTACCGCCGGTGCAAGTGACCGCCCAGGGGGCGACACGGAAACGACTCGGACCCGAATTTCATGCTGACATGCGGTTTTGGCGTCTGTTGGTCGACGGGGGCCTGGGGTCGCCGTCGCGGTTGTTAACAGCCCCACTTGTGTGTTTCTTTGATCAACCGTATTCGTGTCTTTTGTGGTCGGACGCATCTGGAGATGCGATGGGAGGGTACTTCTTGCATGCCGAATTTCGTTCGGGCGTGTGGTGGCGTTTTGATTTTAGTACGGAAGTACGGGAGAGGTTTCGACAGCAGGCCCAGGGGCGTGACGATTTGAGCATCAACATGCTCGAACTCCTCGCAATGGTCGTTGGCGCCTGGGTGTTTATTGTACAGTCGGAAATGAGGCCAGAGTATGCCCGCAACAGCATTCGTATGATGGGAGACAATTCGTCGAGTGCCGCGTGGGTGAACAAGTGTCGGGGGGGGAGCGAGCCCCGATCGGGGGCACTCATGCGTATGCTAGGATGTTTGGAGATGGGCAGCGGATGGTGCTTTGAGGCGGCTCATGTTCGGGGGGTAGATAACACGATTGCAGATGGTATTTCACGATGGGAGCCGGCGACTATTGACGCTCGTCTTCGCCTGTCCCGCCCCAATGTCGCCTGGCGCCAACAGGTCTTGAGCCCGGTCGTCGCCGATCTTTGTACCGGCGTCTTAGCGGAGAGTACGTCCGCGAGTCAGTTGCGCAGTCGTCTCGAAGAACTTACCTGTCAGGTTGGCGGGCTTGGTGTGCTTTTCGCCGCATGATTGGCGAGTCGGAGTACCTCTCGAGGGACGCGGATGAGGCTGAGCTGGAACAAGCACTTTTGGAGTTTGTGGCGTGGTGTTGTGCCGATAAGGGTAATGTTGCGCCAACCATATCCGGCAAGCTCGCCGCGGTGCAGTACTTTCATCGAATCGACAAGCAGCTTGAGTTGCCCGCCGGTGCGCCTCTTATCAAGCGGAGTTTGTTGGGAGTCGCACGTGTTCACGTTCGCGCGGGTACAAAGAGTCGGAGTCGGGTTCCCGTTTCATGGGAGACGCTGTTGGAAGGACAGCAGTTGACGGCGTCGTGGGGTTCTGGTGGCCGCGTGCTGTGGCTGTGTTTGGCGTGGTCGTACTTCCTGGTGGCGCGTTCGGATGAGGTTTTTACCACCATGTCGGGGCAATGCCACCAGGTGCATTGCTTGCGGCGTAGCGACGTCGAATTCTTTCATGGGGAGGACGTGCTATCCCCGTTGCATTGGCATAAGGCCACAG